ACGGCCACCCCATAGCATTTCGAACCACGAAGTAGTCCCGCTTCCATGTCGGGACCTTATTTGGAAGATCATGCAAAAGCTTGAACCTCGGATAAGGAGACAAGTAGTAGGCCCGCCTATACCCGGGCAGGGGACCCGCTTGCTTCTTGAGCATAAGAATGGCGGAAAAGATTTCCAGGTCCAATGGAAGGCAGTGTTCGCAACAAAGGGAGATGGTTCCAACAAGGTTATGAATGGAGTTCGGGTGGAGTTGACCGACAGTAACGCCGAAGTGATTCATGACCTTGACGATAAGAGGGTGGAAAGGAAGGCGCAGCCCGGCAACAAGCTACTCCCGGAATATCACGATCTCGTCCGGACCTTGCTCCCAAGGGAAGTCGCCCGAGGGTAAACTGTAAGTATACTCCCCGGGCAGGTTATACTGAGCGATAAGGGACCAAAGTCTCTCGGGTGTCATAGTGGAAGGCTCAAACTTATCTAGCACCCAACCTCGACAGGAGGTGGATGCCAAGCTACCCGAGGTGACTCGGCCTACGGGCTCGAACTCGAGCTCTTCCTCGAGCTCTACTTCGGGCCCCGCCTCAGACTCACTAAGGTTGTTAGGGGCAGCAGCTCGGTTTGTAGAACCAGCATTTGACCCCCCCAGAAGACTATCTAAGCTATCCGAGCTAGACATTGAATCTAAAAGAAGGCTGAGGACTCACCGGGAAGAGCTACCAGACTACGAAGAATGACGCGAGCTAACAGCCTTGGGCGTGAGCTCAAGGAACGAATGCTGGAGAATGGCGAAGGAAAGTGACCAAGGCCCCCCCCACTATTTATAGCCACTATACTCGCGCATCAACGACCAAGATCAAAGCCATCCAACGGACCGGTTGCGCACCCCCTGAGGAGAAGTCAGTTTAGCGCGCATTTTCGACATTCAAAAATTTAAAATCGTTTGACGTTCGCGCATGAGCTGTACGCAACCCGAGATTGACCCCTGGTTGAACCGAGCCGACCCTGATCGGGCCAAAAACACAAGCAGGTCAGACCGGAGAAGCTCCAAACCAAGGCCAAAGCGTCATGAGGCAAATCCACCCGTCATCCCGTGAACTCCCCACGTCAGGTCAGGACCCCGGGCATGGGGAGTGGGGGGCAATTGATGGAGGGAGATTTGGCTCGACCCCTTGGCCACGCGACACGTGGAAGCAACCGAGAGTGACCTGGCAGAAGCGCCAGCTCGGCACAGTAGCGGGCCCATGACCCAAGCTCCAAGGAAAGGAGCCCCGAGCTCCCCCAAAAAAAGGAACCCACGACTCGAGCTCTCCCTAGAGACCCTGAGCCTTACAAGGAGCGCAAAGGGCAAAAACCCGAACTAGCTCACCTCGGGGCAGTTTGGGCCACATTTCTATCCGAACTCAAGACTTCACCTCGCACACCACTTCGGCTCCAAGTCGCCTGACTGAACAACCGTACCTGACGCCAAGGAAGCCCGTACACGGAGGCAGTGCGCTTGACTGATTAGGGGTCTGACACATGATAGCCGCCCTCCAACGGCCACCTGCGACCGCCATCTTAGACGTGGCAGAGACGGCCCTGACAAGGAAGACAGTGGCGGTTATGACACCCGAACTGGAAACTGGCAGAGGTTATGACACCCGAACTGGCAACTGGCAGAGGTTATGACACCCGAACTGGCATTTGGCAGAGATGATGACACCCGATCTAGCGGAGGTGATGATGCCCGATTTGGCAGAGGTATGGGAGTGAGTGCACCAGGGTGATTATAAAAGGCCTCCTTTCCCCAAAGAAGGAGGTATGTGATTTATGTGATTTCTGGTCTTGAAGTTCCTCATTTCCCTTGCCTTCTCTAGAGCACTAACTTGAGCTTCGGAGTGTTCCAACCGGGTTCCTCTCTGGAAGTCTCCAATTTCTTCCTTGTTTTAGGCACCTCCAATTCCGTCAAAGGCAAGGTAACCGACAGCTAGGACCGACCGGATTGCGCATCATCAATACCTATTATAGAAAGCAAGGTTTTAAAAACTGACCCGGATTCCGGGTTAGCAGTTCAACCATCCAGTCGAACAATTCGGATGGTTTGCATATTAGGACAAATGTTTATATGAGATTTGCCCTAATATACAAACCTCATATAAGAAAGAAGAGGTGTCGGCTGAGAAAGCCAAGAAGTAGAAGGAGAAAGGAGAACTGTTGTCAGCTAAGAAAAAAAGAAAGAAGAAAAAGGAAGGAGAGGAGGGAAGGAGAGAAGGAGGGAAGAAAGAAGAGGAGGAGGAGGATTGGATGCTCACCGGCAATGATAGCGGCGACGACAACATATGTAGATCTGAAATTTGAGTTCTTGGATCTCAGATCTAAATCTGAGATTGATTTCTCTAAAACACCTGTAGAAGAAAGTCTTCTTCTTCTTCTTCTCTTTGTGCTAGATCCCAGATCTGAGTTCATGTCTCAGATTGGATCTCAGATCTGAGTTCTCCTCTCTGCAACTTTATATTGCGAACCGCTGGCCTGGTCAAATGAGTGGATGGTTTGACCGCTCGGGTCAACGGTTTTTTAACGAAGTCAATGGGTTTTGACCCAATAATGAGTTAGGGGTGAAACAGAACCGGTTGTTTGGACGGTTTTTGGGCCAAGCGGTCTGATTGTCCAGGTCACTGCCACATCACGTCCTCGTTGGCAGCAATGAGCTGCAATCTAAGAAAACACCAAATTCGACATTACTCCAAACCATACCTTCTCAATTTCCAAGGCATGACTTAGAGCATTATTTTTTTATAGAAAAATGGTTCCAAACAAACAACCATTTCCTGGAGCACCATTTTTTCTAACGTGGCGCTGATGTATCACCGTTTTCAAGAGCAATGGCATTGATGCCAAATAGACGTTTAAGTTAAGCTATTGATCACGATAGCTTTATTTCTTCTCTTTGGTCTTTGTTTTATCCCTTAATTAGGACCATTAAAGATTGGTTTCAAGGACTCAAGATTTAGACCTTCGAGATTCTGTTGGACTCAGTTTACTTTGCATAGGTTGCCCTGCTCACGATCATATGTAGATGGCAAAAACTTCATAAAATTCATTGAAGTGAAAGGAAGAAAATGAAAGGTGACAGCAAAACAAGGTAAGAGATTTAATGATTTTTCTCGTTAATCAAGCAACAAATGGTCAATGTCAAACATGACCTTGATGTGTTGTTTTGTTTGAAAGAAAAAGGTAGGAAAAGGGAGGGGAAACTTTACCCTTCCTTTCCCTACCTTGTTTTTCTACCTTTTCCTTCTCAAAACAAACTTTGGAAGGGAACAATCACCTTAAGGCCCGGTTCATTTTTTGATAAGTTATTTATTTAGGTAAATGCACCTATGCAGTTACATATTTTCCATGAAACACTTACTACTAGATAACTGTATTTATTCATTTTTTTTTTGAAATAAATAAGACAATGACCGTTTTAGCCATAAAAATCTATTATTAGAAAAGATAATTTTATATCATCCAAGTATTGGCTTACCCACCTAAGAGATGGTACCTAGCCAAAATAAATTTTGTATCACCCCACATAAATTTAAAAAAAGAACATAAATTTCTTTATCATATAAATCAAAATCCCATTCACCAACTTTCCTCCCCTCAAAATAAAAAAAAAACAAACTGTCCACCCCAAATTTCAACAAATCTCTTCAAGGTCTTATATAGGAGTTTTTATTTTTAAGTCCACCCTAGAAATCTAACCCCCACCGTACAGATGGGATGAATCTTGACTATGGATTGATATCAAATCCACATACAGGATGCAGTTTATAGGGGATTACTAGTAGACTAAGAGGGGGCTGTAATTTCAGATTTCTGAAGTGGAATGCAGTCTGCTTATCCCTTTTAAATATTGATACACCCGAGCTAGATTTTTAGGGCAGAGAAGTTCATGGATGATAAAAAATGTGTCAAATGATCAAAGTGTGGTGAAAGCCTCATCTCACATCCCATCTAAGGAATGGGATGATCGCGGAGCTAAGATTTTTTATTGAGAGGGGCCAAAACCTTAAAAACATGGATAGGAGGGGCTAACAGTTAGAAAACATGAATAGAGGGGCTAAAATATAAGTGAAACTTATAATTTTAAAGGAGACTTTGAAGGCATAGGGGGGCCATGGTTCCCCTCAGCCACCCCTCGCTCCGCCATGGGAGAGATCGGCTTCAGTCAGTGGAAGGCCCGTTCGAACACTGTTGGAACGAGCTGTTGGACACAGCCCAATGACAGAGAGCTCTTGATTACAATCAGGCCTTGTCGGGTCAGACATGATAGTCCCGATGGGAGATCCCATGGGTCTGATTGAGGTTCTGCAGATTTACTTGATATACTTTGACCCATTCCAGACCCGATCAATTGACAGTCCCATTGTCGTCGAATTTTAATCGAAAACCGATTCAATACTTCATTCTATCTGATCCGATCCGATGGAAACCATTAAAATAAAAAAATAGCCAAATGTCAATCTATGGTTTGTACTGACCTCAGGAGCGGGTCCCAGTGGAAAGGGGAATCTTGGTGAGATGAGATATCTAATACCCTTCTAATATACCATTTCTGTGTAGTGGAGCAGGAAGGCGTCTCGTACACGTCACTCTTCACTCCCAACCACTCCCAGTCCCAGATACAAATTTGCACCATACAGCTGCTGTCATCACCCATCAAGTTGGTGTTCTCATGTAAAACATGCCCCTCCTCTCTTGGGTCCCACTCCCACCAACAACCCTTGTGTGATTGATGTTGACACGTCACTCATCCTCTCTGCTATTGTTCCTTCTGGGCCCACTCCATTTATCTACATCACTGTACGGTCAAGCACTCTATAGCATGGTCGGCAATGGGTCGCTTCGGGTACCGGTTTAATCCGAGCAGAACAGATTTTTCTGCATGGAGACATACGTAAAAAGACAACAATAAATTAGCACAAAATTAATGTAGATCAAAGAAAATGGAACGAAGGAAACAAACTTAACAAGAGTGGTTGGAGAGCAGTTAAACAAGTATGCTGTATGAACAAACCTCTCTAGATAAAGAAACTTCAGAGCTGGTCTCTCCAAGCTATGCTTTGCTTACTCCTCCTCCTCCCCTCCACCACTGTCTCCTCCTCCTCCGGCAATGTCTAGAGACTCTAAATCCTGGAGACCTTTCACGGCGAACTGCTGCTCAATCGAAGGCCAGACGGTCTTAGGAAACTTCAGCCGGTGTAGGCCATCCCGGTTGGAGTTTTCCAAGAGGATCGAGCTACCTTCCTTCCGCCGTTTATCGTTCTCCGACCTTAGCAGTTCTTCGTCGACGCGCATCACCGAGGATCTTGCTCATTCCTTCGGCTCGGATTTGCATGTTTTTCAGCTGAGCGAATTGCGGGCCATAACCCAGAACTTCTCTAGCAATTTCTTACTGGGGGAAGGTGGGTTCGGCACCGTGCACAAGGGATACATCGACGAGAACTTACGCCAGGGTTTGAAGGCTCAGGCTGTTGCCGTTAAGCTTCTTGACAGTGAAGGCCTGCAAGGGCACCGGGAATGGCTGGTAACAAATTAAACCTTAGCTTTTTTTTTTTTTGTCTCCTTTACTGCAAATGTTTTGCTTTCCTATTATTGCAGTGCAATTTTATTTGCATTAATACAAAAGCATGAGAATGCAAATTCTGGGTTTACTTTATTCTGGTTAAATTCTGAACATTTGAATCAACAAATCATTTTTTCTGTGTCCATGCTTTTGAATTTTTAATGTTTATTCTTTTCTGAGACTCTTCAATACATTATACAATGAGAAAGGGGTTGGGCCCCACAACAATGATATGATGAAGTTGGTGTACTTGAACTGCATTGTATGTGGACCCTACCTAGTCAAAGAATAATGTATTGAATCGTTGAACGGCTATGATTAAACTGATTTTTTATTAACGTATTAAAGGATGGCTATGACGTAATCTGTCTGGAATAAAAATGCAAACCGGAGTTATGAATAATAGAGTAGGATTGGTTTCGGTTTGTCAGGTCGACCTAGACCATCGACAGACCTAAACCGTTCTTGGCCGGCCCATGTCTTGGTTTGATCTGACCATGATTTATACGTGATTTATCTTCTCAATCTCCTCGCCTTTTTCAATTAACATATTGAAGACTTCATCAGGCGGAGGTGATATTCCTGGGACAACTCAGGCATCCACACTTGGTGAGATTGATCGGCTACTGTTGCGAGGATGAAGAGAGGCTTCTCGTTTACGAGTTCATGCCTAGAGGAAGCTTAGAAAACCACTTATTTAGGAGTAAGTAGTTCAGCTATTTGCACTAATTCAGATGAGATGAGATTATGCTGATTGCTCAATTAACCAGTATAATCACATGGAGTTTATTGTTATGGTCACAGGGATCTCTGTGTCTTTGCCTTGGGGAACCAGGCTGAAAATCGCCATTGGAGCTGCCAAAGGTCTCGCCTTCTTGCATGGCGCCGAGAAGCCCGTCATTTACCGCGATTTCAAGACCTCGAACGTGTTACTGGACTCTGTATGTGATTGGCTAGCTCTTCTTTGATTATTCAATGTGTTCTCACTTCTCATCACTGTCTATTAATTAACAGCCATTGGCTCCACTATTCTGGTAGGATTTTACGGCAAAGCTATCGGATTTTGGCCTTGCAAAGATGGGACCAGAAGGATCGAATACTCATGTTACGACCCGAGTAATGGGGACCTATGGATATGCGGCACCGGAGTACGTCACAACAGGTTAGATTTCTGGGGCTTTCCTACTGTAAATCTGCAAAGAGTCTACAGGGATAAATACAAAATATGAAGCAATTTGTCTCTAGGGCACTTGACTACAAAGAGCGACGTCTACAGCTTCGGGGTGGTGCTACTAGAGCTACTGACGGGAAGAAGATCAATGGACAAAACCAGGCCCAAGAGTGAACAGAACCTCGTCGACTGGGCGCGGCCCTACCTGACCAGTAGCCGGAAGTTGCGCTGCATCATGGACACAAGACTGGCCGGTCAGTACTCCGTCAAGGGAGCACGGGAGATTGCTTCTCTGGCTCTACAATGTGTAAGCCCAAACCCTAAAGATAGACCAAGGATGCCTGCAATTGTTGAGACACTCGAGAAGCTGCAAAATCTGAGGGACATGGCGGTCACCTGTGGACAATGGCCGGCGGCGACTCCCAAGTCTGGCCGGAATGGAGCCAATGTCAAGGGCAGGAAGGATGCCAGGCCGGCGGCTTACCGGAAGCCCTCTCCGGTTGCTCCAAGCCGGTTCGGTTAGTTAATTTGCTTGTCGATATGTATAAAAAGGTGTGATGATGTCAAGGCCTATGTATATAAATATGCTTCAAGCCTTCAACTTCAATGGTTATGTCATTACTTCTCTTAATTGTGTGATATATTTAAGAGCTTAATGAGCATTTGTAAATGTAATTCCTCTCTCTCTCTCTCCTGTTCAACGGCCCGACCCAACCGGTCCATCCTGTCCACAGATTGCCACAAGTTCACACACGGTGTACACTAGCGATGGGTTGAAACTTGAAAGAAAGAAACTATCCTTCCCGCCAAGAAACAGAATCGTTGGCGGTTTTAACTAACCCAACGAGTCTTATATAAAGCCTTATCTATCTTTTATTCTCAAAACACACATCTCTCTCTCTCTCTCCAACAAACTGATCAAGAAAGCAAAACAAGAGAATCAAGAATCCATTAATGGCGATCTTGCTCAACCAAGGTCCCTCGTTAAGCTTCTTCAAGCTCTCCCTCACTTTCCCTCTCTTCTTTCTCCTATTGTCATTGGCTGTTTCAACGGCGTCATCTCCTGCAGCAGCAGCATCCTCATCCGCAGCTGAAACCCTCCGAAACCGAGGATACTCTTTCTTCGCCAATGCCATTGCAGCTGCCATTGATCTCCGTGGCTGGAATGGGACCGGAACTGTTTTTGCCACACCTGATAGTTCTTTTTCTTACGCCACAGCTAAATTCAAGAACGGCAGAGCTCCGCCGCCCCCTGCTACCTCCCTCCTCCTCTACCACACTTTGCGCGAGACTCTCCTGTTCGAAGATCTGAGGACACTGCCAGTCGGAAAAGCATTTCCAACGTTCGCACGCCGAAATTGCCTCTACATCTGTAAGAATCCCTCTGGAGAACTCGGCATTGCGGGAAGAAAGAAACCGAAAGGATATTGTGTGATAATCCGGCAGCCTAATCTCTACGTCCAGGAGGATCTCATCATTCACGGTGTTGATGCTATACTGGACCCCTCCTCTGGGTCCAAGTGTCGTATATCTCCAGTTGATCTTTTGACGGGTACTGCCTCTTCTCCATACTCAAAGGTTGATCGTGATTCGTTTCTTGATGACGCCGTTACGGTTTTGAGAAGTAGAGGTTACAGCGTAGTGGCAACGTCAATGGTTGTGCGACACAAAGATCTGACGAATCTAACGGGCGTCACCGTCTTTGCACCTAGTGATGAGAGTCTTTTCACTCTCACTGACGGTTTCCGTTACGATTTCCGTTACCATGCCGTACCTCAGCTTCTCCGTTTGTCCGATCTTAAGAGGCTACCGAACGGATCAAAGATCAAGACTCTGGTTCCAGGAAAGGAGATCGTAGTACGCTCCGTTAACGGCGTCATATTAGTTAACGGCATTAAGGTCGACAGTACAGAGATTTACAACAACAGATCGGTAGTGATAATCGGTATATCGCATCCAATGCCGACGAGAAATGGTTTATTTATTACCGCTTTTCCCCATATGAACCAGGATTCCGGTCAATTTGTGGGCGGCTGGTCAGATTTTAGCATTTCTCCGATGACGGCTGATCCTCCATATTTCCCAGAAATCGGTGTGCCACCGACGACGGTGGAATCTCCATTTTACTCAGACACCGAGTTTCAAAGCTCCGCCATCTATGGAGGAGAAATCGCACTAGGACCTATGACCCAAGAACGTACTGCTGGCGACGATGGTTCGCCGGATCCGGCAAAATCTGTTGTGCCAACCACAGCCCCGCTGAGTTTCACAGGGTACGGTGATGAGAACTTGTTGAAAATCAAGGGCAACAACTCGCCCTCTCCGTCCGCTTACGCCTCAGTTTCTTCCAGTTCCAGCAATGCACGATGCTCTCCGGCAGTTGCTAACGTCAAAATTGACGGCATTTCCTCGGCGCTCCTTGCCGAACTTGGAGAATTTTTCTGTCCTTTCAATGGAAGAATAAATGCAGAGGAACCAGACGTGGCACCAGTTAGTTCGAGTATTGACTCTGGTCAACCAGGAAACGATGACATTCCTCCATTGTTCTCTTTCCCAACCGCTTACTTTTGAGTTTTGACGACGTGGCTACTCTCTGGCGTTAAGCATCTCGTTGGTAAGATACTGCACGAGGTTTCAATTTTCAATCTTAACCGTTTGATTCATTGATTGGTGGAGTCACTTCTAGAAGCCATGAACTAAGAGCTCATATGGCAAGGATCTTGTAAGATCGAAGTTCTGTTTCCTCTTCTTTTTGGTTATGCTTTGTATATTTTTACCTAATACTCCATCCACATCAATAGAATATCTTCCAGTTCCGGAGCATGGCCTGACCTCCCTACTAAAGCGTCCAAACCCAGCAAGGACCAGACTGACCAGTTATAACTTATAAGTAGGGCCTGCACTGGCCACAAGGTTGGGCCAATTTCAGTGTTGGGTCTGATACGAGAGACCAGATTTGCTCCTCACTCGTGGCGCCTCACATTTACCTCACAGGTACATTGTACTGTGCATTGAGAATATTTCCCGAACTTATGTATTATTATTTATGGGAAATGTTTCAATGCACTGTAGGATGTGCCTGAAAGGTCGTTGTGAGGTGTCCTGTGTGAAGAGCAGATCCCACCTCTAATACAAGAAGGAAAACAAATTCCTTTTTCTATATTAAAAAAATCATAATAGAATTTTTTTGAGTAAAAAAATCATAATAGAATTAGAAAAAATAAGAAAAGAAGATATTAGGGATCACTGATCTAGATACAACATACAACTCTGCTAAACTTTGTGAGTGGATTGCGCAAATATACGAAATAAAATCAGAATAATGTCTTCAGTGCGTCTGAAATCGGACCACCGATCCTCGCGTTAATTTGTGTGAGTTCTTGGACAAGCACCTGTTGAGAGACAAGAGAAACCTTTGCTTTCCAGTTTCCAACATAAAAACGCTAGACCCGAACCCGACAGCAATGGCCAAGGACTGCAAATGTTCCTCTCTCTCATGGAAACACAAACACTTGCAAAAGTAAGCTCTGGCTTTAGGTATTGATTTTACCAATATAATGTTTACTTTCACTAGTGAGAAACAAAACAGATGGCCAATTAATTAAAGGGGATCTCCTATTTTAAATTGGCATTCCACATGGTTGAAATGGTAAGGAGAATATCCCCTAAAGCAGGCAATGCCTAGAGCTATATGAGAAATTACGACTCATCAAAGGCCCTAGGCCTAACTGTTCTAACCTGTAACATCACCTGATTTTCTTGCTGTAAAAAAAAAACAAAAAAACAAAAGGAATCTAGCATTCAATTCGGTTTCCGACTTCTTAAGAAATCATTGTTGGAAATACACAACCAAGCCTATACAGTCCACTGGGATTAGCACAGCAATGAATGAAAGTTTCACTTGTGTTCTGCAATTACCGTGAACATGGGTAGAGAGCATCATTGCTTCACAAACAAGCCCCTTCATGTGCATCCATGGTGATACTTCTACATGTCGTATATTTGCATAAATGCAATGCAATATTAGTCAGTACTTCAAGAAAGAGTAACCTGAAGATACGAGCAAACACTCACATGCCCCCATAGAGATATAGAAGTCAAAAGTCCAAGGTCAGGCAGACGTAGAAGGCGTACTTAAGTCCTAACAAAACACTCTAATATGCCTAAAAGAAGGGACTATCATTTAAAAAAAAGAAGTGACTGCGTACCAAAAATCTCACCTTTGCAGCAATAAATACATTGAATTGTGCTTTTTTAAGTTGCAAGTTCCAATACATACGAACCAGGTCAATTTCTTACAGCCTAATAAGTCGGCCAGATGCAAACGTAACCGAAATGCTTCAGCTCAGCCTTCATGAGAGAGACATCAGCGATCAGAGGACTAAAAGCCCAAGAATCCGCGTTTCTCATCAAAGGGTCCATGGAGGAGGCGTGAGCAACGCACTCAAGGAACTACAGGCTACAGCCCAACGCACTAACTTTTAAGCCTTCCAGTGCGTTCTCACCGGTCACCTCCCTAAAAATTCTCCGCACTTTTCCTCGTCTTTTATTGTTGAGCTCTGACTTACTATAACAAACACCCAGAAACAGCATCCATCCCTAAATGCTCAGACGAACCCCTATGGCGTTCAACAATAAACCCAAGAAACCCATCTTCTCCTCCCAATCCAACCTCCATACCACCCTCTTCTTCGTCTTACTACTCTTCACAATTCCCGCCTTCTTCCTCCTCCACGCCCCTTCCACTACCCCATGCTCCGCCTCCCCCAACCTCCCCCACAAATGGTCCGGTGACCTTCTTAAAGCCGAATTCGCTTGGAACCGTTTGCAGTTCATCGACAGCCAACCGCCTCCGGTCACTCTCAAGATTGCAGTTTTCTCTCGGAAGTGGCCCGCTGGAGCCACGCCTGGTGGGATGGAACGCCATGCCCTCACCTTGCATACCGCTCTAGCCCGTCGAGGACATCGAATTCATGTCTATACCTCCCCTCCCCAGGATACCGGCGAGGCCATCCCATCTGCTGATGAGGGTCTCAATCTTCCCTCATCAGCAAATCCTACTGGTTACCCAGAACTCCATTTCCACGAGGGTGAGCCGGGACAGTGGCGATACAACTTGGCGTGGTCACAGTTCGAGGCGGAGAACAAGCGCGAACCATTCGATGTGGTGCATTCAGAGAGTGTGGCTCTCCCCCATTGGTTAGCCCGTAACGTTCCCAACCTTGCAGCATCCTGGCATGGGATCGCCCTTGAGAGCGTACAGTCCGACATCTACCAGGATTTGATGCGGAAGCCCGATGAGCCCATGTCACAAGCATTCAACACCAGGCTTCAAGGGGTACTGCCTAAGGTTTTGAACGAAATTAGGTTCTTCAAGAGCTACGCTCATCACGTAGCTATCAGTGATAGCTGTGGAGAGATGCTGAGGGACGTTTACCAGATCCCAGATGGAAGGGTCCATGTGATTCTCAATGGTGTGGATGAAGAAGACTTTGGACTGGATGTGGGTTTAGGGAATGAATTCAGGGCTAAGGTTGGTGTGCCCCAGAATACCAGTCTGGTACTTGGGGTTGCCGGAAGACTGGTGAAAGACAAGGGTCATCCTTTGCTTTATGAAGCCTTCTCTAAGCTGTTAGAGAAGCATCCCAATGTCTACCTGATCGTTGCAGGGTCTGGGCCATGGGAGCAACGATACAGGGAACTGGGGTCTCGAGTCATAGTGCTGGGATCCATGCGGCCTGATGAGCTGAGGGCCTTCTACAACTCCATCGATATCTTTGTGAATCCCACCCTGCGACCTCAAGGGCTCGATCTTACTCTGATGGAAGCAATGATGAGCGGGAAGCCTGTGCTGGCATCAAGGTTCCCTAGCATCAAAGGGTCAATAGTCGTCAGAGAAGAATTTGGGTTCATGTTCTCGCCAAACGTTGAATCCTTGCTAAAGTCATTGGAGGCAGTGGTGGAGGAAGGGTCAGAAAAGCTAGCTTGGAGGGGAAGGGCTTGCAGGGAATACGCTGCTTCCATGTTTACAGCACGGAAGATGGCATTGGCATATGAAAGGTTATTCCTTTGTATCAAAAATGAAACTTTTTGTAAGTATCCCTTGCATTTAGATTAATATTTTTTTTTCCTTTTAAGAGACTTGAATGTTACAGAGAAGAGCTCAGCACCTCAGAGAACTATAGATTTTTAGACACAGAAATTATTTGAGAGGAAACTGATGACAATATGCATTCTCTTTTGCTGGCCTATATAGAAATATGTGATTGTTGTTCCCGGCTCTGTCCCCAGCTTTGCCACTTCATTAGGTTAATTTTGGGTTATTTACAAGTTTGAATAACACACAAATTGAGGAAAGGAGAAGAGAAAATATATTCATTCTACTAGAATAATCAGTAAGGGTCTCTGGAATGAAAGGGTGGTCTACATCCAGTGATTCAACCCATTGCTCATTTGGAGGTGGGAATGGGATGGGCCAGGACCAAGAACGGCAATCCATTGTCATGTATTGAATGATAATTTTCACTCAAATATTGATAAAAAAATATTTTTCCATTCGAAAGAAATCCCTTGAATGCCATCGTTAAGAACAGTCAATCAGTATAGCCCATTTAGGAGGGCTTTTATATTGATTGAGCCACTTCTGAGAAGTTAACTTGAGATAGTTTCACAGGAAAATCAATTTTGAGGTTTCGATTAATCTATTTCTGACTTATTAGGTTTTACAAAACACGGCTTCACTTCACAGCTTAACATCAGAAGCTGCTGCGTGAAAGCCCTCCCAAACAGGAGCTTAAGCTATGGATAATCGTGCATGATTATCAAACCAATATTTTGGTTTAGAACCACAATTTTGGCCAAAAATTATTGGGACATAAGTCAAGCCTAAAGCACGATTAGTAAAATAGTGTTTATGGCATAAATAAATATAAGGGATAAGTAGACTGCCGTTCACCTCAGAAATCTCAGCTATGGTATAGATCCACGGTCAGGATTCATCCCACCTGTACCGTAAGATTAAGATTTCTGAGGTGGATTAAATATAATATGGACAACCTTTGTCCAATGTTGCCTCCCCCTATGGTCTTTGAAAAGGGTGTAATGGAGACAGACCTTCTTTTTGGAATTTCCTTATAGTATAAAGTGGCGGCTCTCAGACTTTTACCCCGCATTCTCACATTTGTGAGTCCCAAGATATTACTATTGTACCAAACAATGGCCCTAAAGAATTGAGAAAATTTCATAATATATATATATATATATATATATATATATATATATATATATATATATATATATATTTAATTTTAAATAAATAAAAATAATTATAAAAACTAACATTTTTATTAATTTCACTAATAATTAATAATTATATAGGAATCACAATGGGGTGGGTTCAAAGCAGGGCACCCCATCCCTATCCTTACCCCATAGTCAAGACACTACCCCATCCTCACCCTGCCCGGCTGTCCCTAGTGTTAGGTTGGTTTGGGGCAAGGCAACCACTTCTCAATGTCGAGTGAGTTTAGGGGCAAGGCACCCCACTCCTCATCAAGGATGGGGAATCCTTGAACTTCCCTGCCCTGTCCCTAGTATTGGACGAGTTCAAGTAGAGGTGTAAATCGAGTCATGGCACGACACGACTTGCATGCGTCCCGCACTGTGCAGGTCGTGCCATGCTGGCCCATGGGGCATTCCAAGCAATGCCTCCCTCCCCTAGGATACTTTGGGGTCAGTTCGTCACGGCCCACAAACTGAGCCCGCACAGACCCGTTCCGTGCCATGGACCGAGCCTTGGGCCAGGCTAGGCTATAGATTGGGCCAAGCTATGAGAGGTCAATTTAAAAAAAAAATATTAAAAAAGATGTTTAAATTTTTATTTCATATGATTTTTGATGTATACAATTAGACCTATTCATGGATCGAATTTTTTAAATTACTATATTTAATTTTCAATATTTTTTAATTATTTTTAGTATTTTAATTATGTTTAGGTTTTTTAGAATTTTTTGGATTTTTAATTAATTGTTGGTATTTTTCATTATTATTCAGTAATTTTTGCATATGAGTAATTTTTGTAATAAAATACTATTAATAAAATAGGTTCTACATTTTAAAATTTCATTAATTTTTATCATTTTTAATGAGTTCATTATGCACAATAAAGGTCTCAACTCATAAAAATTATTAATTAATTAAAAATATATTAATACCAAGTTATCTAATAATATTATTAAAACTATCAATTAATATTTTTATATTTAATTAATTATTGGTATTTTTTCATTATTATTCAGTAGTTTTTGTAATAAAATGGGTTCTGCATTTTAAATTTTCATTATTTTTGTCATTTTTAATGAATTCATTATGCACAATAAAGGTCTCAACTCGTAATTTATCTAATAATATTATTAAAACTAATAATTAATATTTTTATATTTAAATTTCTTATTTTTATTAGCATTTATTAAGTGGAATTTTAACACATTTTTAATATTTACTAAGTTTTGTTAATATTTATTTTTACTTGAAGTTTAGTAGATTTTTAAATTAATATTTTTTTAATTATTTAACCTCAACCTATTTATATTATTTGATTTATATACTACTCTCTCTCTCTCTCTCTCTCTCTTAAATGCTTAAATGTAATAATAACATGCATTAAAATAAGAGGCCTTGAAAAACCCAAAGGTCTCTCTCTAATAGTTTGTAACTTTATTAATCTAATCAAGATAAGCAATGATTACTGTTTTATATTTTTAAAACAAAAGAAATTAAAAAAATAGAAAAAATATATAAATAACTTCTCTCAAAAGAGAGACATGCTAACATGGACCGTCCTATTTTATTTTATTATATATAAGTATCAGACAAATACGCGTTCATGTTTCCTATAAATTCATGTTTGTTGTAAAAAACTTGGGCTATTTTATATGGAAATATGTACACTTAGTATAAGGGTACGATGTGCTACCCATATGCAATTAAAAGGTAAAGATATTTGTTAATATTATACAGGGATAGAGCTTGGGGGATTAAAAGTTCTCAAAGGTTATCGTTGCAAACCTTCTCGTATTTCAAAATCCCTATGAGCCCCCTCGCCCCACTCGATAGATATTCCATGTCATCACTATAACTTTTTCGGACAAAAATATTTCGATCATTTCTCCACAGTGGCTACTTCTCAACCTCACCACATGATTTTGAACGTTATACGCCTAACTCCCTACGATTTGAAGCTAATATTGCCGGAGTGTTCTACGCTGACAACCACCTTCATAATTTTCATTTTTTATCCCGAAATAAGAGACAACAAAGAATTTGAGAATACTTTAATCGATCCCCTTTGGTTCGCCATTTTCAATGTCCTACGCTGCAAGCCTCCTCCTTGTTCGCCATTTTCAGTTTTCTACGTTGTAACCCTCCTCCTGGTTATCCATTTCAGTGTTCTACACTGCATGCCTCCTCCCGGTTCGCCATTTTCAGTGTTCTATGCTACCAGAGTGTCTTCCCAGAACAAGAAGCAAGAGAGAGATAGAAAGCCCTCTCTTGCAAACCGCAATCACTGTTTTCAATGTTCGCCGGTTTCGGTGTTCCTTTCCAAAATTAGAGTCAACAAAGAGATACGTAGTTTGTCCTGATATCTCCATCTTCATCGAACTCTCTCCATTGACAACAGTAGGTATCTTCATCTTCATCTTCATCAGACTCTCTCTATTGACAACAGCCTTCATTGTTTTCATTGTTAGCTGGTTTCAATGTTTTTTTCCCAAAATAAGAGGCAAGAGAGAGAGAGAGAGAGTTTGTTAGGTATATACAATATTTTATCCTTTCAAAAGTGTTTATCGCTTTCTTATTTTTCAATTTCAACTTTCTTCTTTTTTTTTTTTCAATATGAACTTCAAAACTGATTGGCTTTGCTAATTTAGAATGATTCAATTGATCTCTTGTTATACCATTCAAAGCCAGATTTTTTTCCGCCATCAGTGACATTGCTCAACTCATCTGAAATCCTACATTCATCCACTACCTCTGAGAACCAAGGTTTTGTTCTATAACATGTTGGAAGAATGCTTTAATCATTCATATCTTGAAAGAACCCCATCCAAGACCACCTAGATCCAATCAAATTCCGGATTTGATTTGGTTTTTGATTGGTTTATAGCAATCGGATTGGAATAGATATTATTGGATCTAAACCAAATCCGAACCATAACAACCTTACAACTAGTGTATTTACTTCAGATTGGGTTTTACTTGCAGGTCCAGACTCTGTAATTAGGGATGTCAATAACTTGGACAAACCCGATAGACCCAAACTGACCTATTTACATACTTGTGATCTACATTCTGAGTTCCAATTGACGAACGCCCCTAAAATTATCAAACAGGGTTGAAGTTGCCATTTGCTTTTGTTTTGCAAAACAAAATCATACAATTGATGAACACCACTAAAATTATCATCTCATATATAGGGAATATATAACATGAGAAGAATGCAAAATATATTGCATGTTTATTGTCAAACAAATTACCAAACTATAGATTTGTAATTCGGCTGCAAATGGTATCCGTTTGTCTGAATTCTAATTCAAATTCGACCCTATCTATTAAGGATGACCTGAATTCGATCAGTTTATAATTGGATCAAGCATAAATCTACCTCTTTCCGATTTAGATGTATATATCAGCTCCGGTTAGAAAATTCGCCAACTTGAATTGAGTATTGGAGGATATGTTTAATTGGGTTTAGGATCAGTGTTGGGTTGGAATAGCCATAGTCTGTACTCTGTAGACGGGGACCATCGGGAATACGAGTTACTGGGACAACAGAATACAAAGATTCAGATATAATAAAGCCTTCTCATGTACAAGCAGTTGTCTTGACCTTGACTTTCACCACTCACCAGGCATGTAATCAAACAGGTTGAACGGGTAACTTTGTTACTGGAAATTTAGATTTATGGGACATCTTGTCAGGACAGAATTAATATAATATAGCAGCAAAACAGGCAAGAAACGTCAACGATTTCATATCTACACATCAATTCCCATTGTAGCCGTTGATACAAACCACAGACCATTTTTTTCCTTATAAAGTGGATGGTCGCAGCGCAGTGCTGAATACAGAAAACAGGAATTCATTTCCAACGACATTCCCATCATTTCCTAGTCCAAGAAAATTATACACATGACATGGAGGTCCCCCATGGGAGAAACCTTACGTGAAAGCAGATATATGACCACATTAATACTCCAGTTTGAGGGAGAACAACTTCGATCCACTTTAAAGCAGACAGAATAACCTTGGAAGCAAATATATACGACTCCATTTAAATATGCTTGAGATGGAAGAAAGTACATAGTCCAAATTCAGTGAAGGAAGTCCTTCATTGGATCATCATGGTGGATCTTCTTCATCCTGTATGCCTCCATATCCTCAGCAGTAACCTAAGATAAATAAAACCTCAGTGAGAAACGAAACCACCACAAACCAAGCACTTGCATCTCATATTAAAACATTAATGAAAAGCATACCTCATCATTCCATCTCACATTGTATTTCCGCTTTCTTTCATCTTTTTCTTCCTTCCTCCTTTCATCCTCCTGTCCAAGTCACGAATTTGAGCAGAAAATTATATCTCCAATTCTTCAACTCAACTAACAACGACTACCAGGTCAACTCTTGACATAATTTCTAGTCCATATGTAGTGTTCTTTTTTAATTCAAAATATAATTGAATCTTCTATCAGAAATTGATAAAACAGTATATGAAAACATAAATCATCTGGAATCTCTCCTAAAAATAGAATGATTAGGTCAACTCCCCCAACAATGCAAAACCCACACTACAAAAGAGCAAAAACCATAACCAAGGTGGTTTAGACCCCAAGTGCAGTTCATGTCCATCTACATCTTTCCTTGCAAGGGAATCCACCAGTTACTCAGTTAGTTTCCTCACCTATAGACTCATTTGAACGAGCAGTTCAAGTTGGGAGCCAAAGATCTTGCCTTGTAACCTCAATTTCTTCTATCTTTAATCAAATTTAAAGTAGCTCCCTCCACTAAAAGTATATTTAAAGTTCTTAAAAAATAAAAAATAAGTCAAATTTTTCATGATAAGCACAATAAAAGAAAAAATATGCTATAGGTGCCATACCCTCTTAAGTGCCTCAGCAAGTTGTTTCTGGTCAAGGACCAAGTCATCCGGTACATCAGTTCCCCAAGTAGCAATGTTTTTATCCTCCGTTGGTGCTGATTTCTCTGTGTATATGTTGGTAATGTAAATATTAGACTTGTTTGAGAAAGGGAAGAAAGATGCACATGTAGCAGGGGTTTTCAAACACGAAGCAGAAATATCACAACGTAAGGCTTGCACATACATCAAACTTCTAAATGCAGAAATCACAACTTTGCAAAGATCAAGAGATCAAAATTTTTCAATGAATCTGAATAGTTAAAGAATTATATATTTTAAATTAAAAAGGCAAGTAATAATTTTAAATGATTGCCAAGAAATATAATAAAACATTTAGGCGTGAATTACAGGAAAGTTACTGCCCTAGTGCCAGCATGAGAAACTTAAACCTCTGTTGAGGTCAATAATAATGCTTCAGAGAAAAAGGTAAAATCAAGCCTACACACCAACCTTCAGTGACCTCTTTACGAGCAATATTAGCTTTCATGAGATCTGTTGCAGCTTCAGCAGCCTCAATTCCAGCTGCACCTGTACAGTAACTGTTCTTTATCATCTGTTTGCAGCACTTGTAGCCCCATTGGTGATCCTTCCACCAGGAACCCCAAACACTTATGTGATTATTAATGTACACATCTTCTTCATATTTGCTTCTTGGTAAAGACATCTCCTGCAAAAAAATACCATATATATTAGGATTTCTTTTCCTGAAAGCACTGATTGATTGGACAACACTGAACAAAGTAATTGTAGCTATATGACCATCCAATTGTTATGGTTGCAAATAAAAAAAAGAACTTATACCCAACCAGAATAAATAAATACTATGCAGCATTCTACATGTTACTGAATATTGATGAATTTGGGGGAAATTTCTAAAATCCATGGCAGTATTTTAGGCCTTTCATAAATCAGTCAAAGAAGATGTTGAGGAATGGCACCTACCAGATTTAAGAAAACAGAGCAAAACAATTTTGAGGACAGTCCCCAGCTGTTGTGGTTTGGGCCTTGGGAAAGAGGAAAAACTCCAGGATTTTTAACAACAAATATTTTTTTATCAAAATTTAACAAAACTTCCTAGGAGGACTAAGTTATAAGTAGAGCAGTTACACTAGTCTATTCCTGGTGTTCAAGTTGATATTGCTATAGGCATGGTTTAAAATGTCCCTAAATTCGCTAATATTTCCATGACATATTTCCATTTCCATGGGTAGTGACACGAAATTTTACCAGAATCAACATATTCCCCAATGAACACTATCAGCACTATGTGGAGTACAAGAGAGAGTTTCCACAACATATTTCCATTTCCACTTCCATTGGTAGTGACACGAAACTTTACTGGAATCAACATATTCCCCAAAATACATTACTAGCACTATGTGGACTACAAGAGATGGTATTATAACATAAATTGGTGACAATACTGTCAATATGTGGAGTAACTTTGCTATTGCCCACCTAACTTACATGATTACCACTTTGAACAAGCTCAATATTCATTTCGGAAATGAAGTTAAATATTAGCTTCTGTTTGTGTAATAGATTATTTGGTTGATCTATTACAACCATTTACATTTTCTATGAGTTATGAATCTTAAGGTTTACAAGGCAACTAAAGAACGTAGTCTTTTGTCTATAACCTTAGTTTCTTAGCTTTGTTTAGTGATTTGGAACAAGATAATAATTAAAAAGGTGTGCCTAGGCTTCTTTTATATCATTCATAAAATACCATTCTATGCTCAGCATATTTTATAATGCTTCCACCATGTCTATAGTTATTAAAATATTTCCATATGATGTTTCCAACATGTTTCTTATATTTGAACAACCAACATTTTAAACCTTGGCTATAGGAATGTTTCTTTCAATTCCTTTTGTCTTCTACTAAGCTGATAGACTACTGGAGGAATTTGTAACTTCAACCTCAAATTGTTGCTTCCAAACCCCATGTAACAATTTAACCAGATCTGGATCTGGTGTTGACCTGGTTTCTTTTTTCTAGGATCAGCAGTAGTCTCATTTGTCCTGACACAGCTAGATGAATTTGAGAACAAGTGGAGAAAATGTATTATGGGCCCAATTATAGTCCATTGATTGCCTTTTCAGTGTTCTCACTATCCTTGGTTTCCCATTCATCGAAAAGACAGAACTCAAACCATCAGCTAAAAAGATCTAAATTAGCATCTACATCTATCTGGATTCAGGGAGGCCCCATAATAATGATCATGCATATCATATAACTTTGTGCAAAAGTTCATGAAGGTAACCGAAAAAAAAGTGGAAAACTAAGTAAGCCTGATCTCTGAACATTTCTGAATTGTCATCTAGGTATGAAGGGAGCTAAAATCCCTCAATTGCAAAGGCTCTTCCTGGTTATGAATACTTGGTTAAAACCATGGTTTAAAATGTCCCTAATTTCCCTAATATTTCCATGACATATTTCCATTTTCATAGTTAGCGACACAAAATTTTACTGGAATCGACATTTCCCCAATGAACACTAGCAGCACTATGTGGAGATAGTTTCCACAACATATTTCCATTTCCACTTCCATGGGTAGTGACTAGACCTGTTCATGGGCCGGGTAGCCCGACGGCCCGGCCCGCACCCCAGCCGGGCTTGGTCATATAATTAGGCCCGCGGGCCTGACCTCGGGCTTAACACAATAAGCTCAAAAAAGCCCGGCTCGAGCCCGGCCCGGCCCGATTCAGTATTATATATTT